TATCATTCAGTTAGATTTCTTACTACGTCTCCTTTAAGTAATTAGGTCCTTGTATATAAGTAGACTATATATAATATATACTCCCTTTTATCGTTGTAGAATGGAGATTCAAAGGGCCTAACGGCGGGGGGTTTTCGATACTGGATTCATCGACCCTCGGAAAGTAAACGTCGCAATGCTCGACCAATATCCGCAAGCCACAGAGGACAATCTCGTCCATCTCCTGAAGGCGCAGCATTACAAGACGTTCATACTGTTGCCGTACAACACAGAGTTAGTTTAATTTTACTGTCTTCCTATACCAAATTTCATTCCCGTATGAACTTGCTAAGTGTTTCATATGTAATGCATCCCACGCACATTGCAGATTCCACTGGGTGCTTTTACTCTTCGACCTGGAAGCCTGTAACGTCAACGTATATGACTCAATGGATAAAAAAGAGTCTACGTTTGACAAGGTTTTCGAACTTATAGACAGGTACTGTCATAAGTTCCTATGTTAATTAAGAATCTTGTTATAGTTAATTGCTACTACGAATCATAGCTTTAAACTCCATGTAGGGCTTGGTATCGGTTCTATCATTTGGTCCGCGGCAAATGGAGAGAAAGACTTAGGCGGAAGTTCAAATTTCCTGTGAGTACATATGCTCTACATTTATATTTCTCTGATTCAAATACATACAAGTGTACATTAATTAGATCTCTCGTCGTTTGTCATTTATTTATAGTGCGCAAAGCAAAAGCAGGGAACTAACTTGTGCGGCTACTACGTGTGCGAGTATTGCCACTGCCTTGCAGACCAAATCATCACCACAAGAGAGCTCGATGTACGTACAAATAAATTTAAAATTTCATTATGTATCGATTTGTTGTTTAATTACTAATAAATTTCATACATTCATATAGTTTATTCGTATGAGGGATAACCTGATCACACACAAGGAATTTATCGCGGCGGTTCAAGAACAACTCATGGGATTCATCAATAAACAAATCCTTGATCCCAAGGGTGAATTCTACTACGACGGAAACACAATTCATAGGTCCTTAGCTTCTGAGCTAGCGACTACTACTACGTCGAAATCGTAGCTAGCTAGGACATATAATGGATTGTAATTAATACATGACTATGTTTCTATATGCATGTGTACACATTTTCTATAATGTAAATATATATTTTGGTCATATATATATATATATATATATACATATGCATTTGCATATGTACATATGTATTGAAACATATATAAATATAATATAATATATATATATGCATATATTATATGTGCATATATATGTATTGAAACATATATATGCATATATATAAACCATGCAGCAACAGGGACATGAAAAAAAAAAGGTCAGCTCGATCTTTAGTCCCGGTTGTTTACTCCCGGTTGGTGTTACCAACCGGGACGCCGGTGTTACCAATCGGGACTAAAGATCGATTTTTAGTCCCAGTTATTTCACCCGGGACTAAAGATAGCGATCTTTAGTCTCGGATTGGTAGTCCCGGTTTGGAAACAGGGATTAAAGGGGGGTTACGAACCGGAACTACAAACGCTTTCTCTACCAGTGAAGGCAATGCTATTCATAATCAACAGTTCGTCACTACTTTTTTTGCCGGTAAAAAAAAAAAGCTGTGACAATATAGCAAACATATATACTCTAATTTTTTTTCTCGAAGTAACTTTGTTCACTGGTTTTTATTGAGACTTGACAGCAAATAATTAAACGGATCTGATGTACCTGCAGTTCCTTGGCATCGTAATTAGTTCTCTGCAGTTTATTACCAGCAACTAATATTTCCAAATTCCCTATATATATAGAAACAAATGGAAACTTCAAATTGGTTATTTGTTAATATATATCAGGTTAGAAAGGGTTAGAGAAACACGATCCACGTCCAGAAGAAGGTTATTATACGTAATGGGTTGCTTGGCGAAGTGAATATCTGGTAGATATATATAGTAATCCATGTCCCACAGAATCTCTGATATTTAACGTACCCATGTGAAACAGATTCTATTGTATATAATCCATGTCAAACGGAATCTGCTGTATATAATTTCTGCGATTCACTAAACCTATAACTAGCTAGCTAGAGTGCCAAGTCATTCAAGTATCTCACTAACAGATACGTGTTATTTTTATTTATTTATTTATTGGGGAACATATATATTGCATTGCAATCATAGGCACCTAGGGTCTCATTCACACTCAACTATATAAACGTCCACAGGTATACGTTTTTTCCTATGAGTACTTCTGACTTCTGAGATGAGAGATAAGGTCAGCATATATTGAGATTGGCGAACTCACTATATATATGTGCCTCATGGTTAACTGTTATATCGCATGTTACCGAAAGAATATTAGTCATAAATATAAGAACCTGTACATGTTCTTAGTCGCGGACTCAACCTGAGTCGACAAAAGTTTCCACCACCATAAACCTAATCCGCTCAACTATGCTAACTTTGCGCATGTCGTTTTAACTAAATTAGTCAAAGAAAATTATCTAGGTAGTGCTGGCGTAATATTTCGGGAAAATATGTGGTGGGAATCACATATGAAATGAAAACTTAGAAAGTACCATTGATTGAAAAATAGACATACAAGATTCGTACGTTTCATCACAAGTAAAAATTTACTCACGGATTTGCTCATGAGTAAAAATTTTACAGTGAGTAAATTTTTTACTCATAGTGACGTGGATGAATTTCCAGCGTCTATTTTTCGATCCAGTGGCAGTTTTCAAATTTCCACTACATAAGTGGTTTCCACCACATATTTTCCCTAATATTTCAGTTATGTGACTAGCTCGGAATTGATTCTATATATAATTTAGAAGGAAAAACACTATGTAATTATTAATTTAGAATTTTATAACTATAACAAATACAACTTTAGAATTATTAATTTAGACAAAGTAGATTTATTTATAACTGAATATAATTTCCATATGTAAAAACAATCATTTAATAATTAGAAAATGCAACTGCCATTTTAATAAAAAAATATGGGAAGTAAAAATATTAACTAGTTGCATATAATTGGAAAAACTTAAATAGATATGTATTTTGTTATACAAATGACAACATCAGTAGCCTTTGCGAATGGATGGGCTAATTAACAATTAACTTGCTAATTGTTTATCTAGGGCAAATATATGGTGAAAACTCAAAACAATTACACACATAGGTGATATTTAAATAATAAACAACCGAACAAAGTTATACGAACAAACTCATGTTCGTTAATGAGATATAAAATTAATAAATACCATTGCTCGTGTTTATATCTTTTTATCTTATATTTCTCAATTTTATATCTCACAAACTCAAGTAGGTTGTATGGTTGTCTAATATTACCTTAGCTATTTGTGAGAGGTTTTTCAATTTTTTGGAAAACTTCCATATATCATTGTTTGAGATAAAAAATTGAGAAACAGCGATATAATAGTTTTTATATAAATAATTAGAGAATTTTTTTGTTGATTTGTTTTGCAAAGAGGTGCGCGCTATTACAGATATGGGCAGGCTGAATATTCTGAAAGTTAAATTTCTTTCTAGTGTGTCTTTTTTAGATAATAGAATAGAATCTCAGCTTTTGCTCAAAGAGTTATAGCCAATTCTTTTCTAGTGTGCGTGTGAGTATTGATCGACATGTCGTTTAATTTTATGAAATCCAGGACACTTTGTTGTAAATTTTGTTTTTCAATGAAGTGAAAGGGAAGACTAATTCCGTTATAAGTTTGAATGAATAAAAACGAGTAATAATTTATAAGCATAATTAGCTGTCCAGAATTTTTTTTCCGGAAGAAGTAGAGCAAGCTGTTCAGGACGTAGATGTGTAGATAAATATAAATATCTACCAGTTATTGTTAAGAGAGACTTCTCGGACTAGGACACTGCACGTATACGTATATATTTGCATATATACAATTAGTGAAAGATTCTGAGTGCGCATATAGTTTAGTTTGAAACAGGAATCATGCCGGCTGGTGAATTGGTGTATAAATAGAAGATCCAGTCTCAGTCTATCTCTCTCATATTCCTTCGATCTGCAGCTTGTACGTTGGCCTTCTTGTGGTACGGGCAGGAGTAGGATATAAACCTTCACGCCGATCTTCTCCGAGGCTGACTCGGTCGATCCAGAGGTATCCATCGATCCTTAATTTGAACATAACTACTTTTAAGAATCCTCACTTACTATATACATCCTCCTTTCTAAATTGATCATCATATAATACAATCCAAAATTTTTTGAATTGGTCATCATATAACCGCATGGACATAAATTTTATTGGAATATAATTAATTCAACATGGGACAATAGTTTACATTAATTTTTAGGATTAAATTAGTTTTCTAGAACTTTGACAACTGATAATATATAATACTTTTGGAGTCAAATATGCTCATACCATATTTATACTTTTTAGTTTTAAGTAAGAGATTTGCTCTGGTCAAACAAAAAGTATCTCGAGGTACTCATACTAAATCGTTTGCGATCGTTGGATCTAACAACGCCCATCCTGCCCAGCTAGATCCAACGATCGAAAACGATTTAGTACCGTAAAATACCGGTAACTCGAGTTACTTTTTATTGAACCGGAGCAAATCTCTTCAAGTAAATATTTATAAATTCATTAACGGTCGAAGTTTTAAATGTTTTTATCAAATCTTGTCCTAAACTTTCAAATGTTCAGAATTGAAGCGAGTATATATGTGTATCACTAACGAGATCGAGTGCAGGGTTGGAAATTCCGGAACGATATTATTTCGGCCGAAATTTTTAAATTTTAAATTTTTCCGTGAATTTTGGTATTATTTGTTCAAATTCAACTATACTTTATTCAAAATTTCGGAAATTTCGGTGAGCACCGATCAAATCGGCTATACCGATAGGTTTTCTAGTGACTCAAATTTGCATGGCTTGCTCAATAATGAATTAATGATCTTGAATTTGCTGATTTCAACAGAAAACGACAACCACATGTTACGCACGCCGGATTTGGGTGATCCTCCGGTGGCGGAGATCACTCACCCGTTTCACCCTCACAAGCTGAGGCTGGCCGACAACGTCACCGACGGTCACTGGCCTTTCCGGTGCGGCGGCTGCAAGGAGCTCGCCGCCGGCCGCCGCAGGTACAGGTGCGAGCCCTGCGACCTCACCCTCTACACGTGCTGCGCCACCGCGCCGCTCACCCTAGAGCACCCGCTGCTCCCGGGCCGGCACTTCCGCCTCCTCGAGCGGCCTCCGCCGCCGCCGCCATGGCTCGCCGCCGACGACCGTGGCGGCGGCGGCTGGAGGCCGGCGTGCGACGCGTGCGGCGACCTCCTGCGCGGCGACGGCTTCGCCTACCACTGCGCCGATGGGCACGGCCTCGTCGGCCTGAACCTCCACCCGCGCTGCGCGAGGCTGAGGCTGCCAGTGGCGGCAGCTCGCGGCGCCGCCGCCGTCAAGCTCTGCCGCAGGGCGGCTCCCCGCCGACGGTGCGGCGTCTGCATGTCCGGCGAGGATGGGTACCGTCACGGGTTCTGGACCTGCCGCTTCCGCCGCAGCGGCGGCGACGAGCTCGTCGACGTGCACCTGTCGTGCTTGAAGGAGTTGATGTCACACTCACACGAGACTCTGACTAATTTGTATGAGATTCTAATGGAGGACGGGACGCCGACAAATGATTGTGGTGAAGGTGCATCTGCACAAGATAATAGCAGGTGTGTATATATGAATTTATTCCCTCCTGATAAATAAGTTTCGTTTTAGAATCATTGCAGTGATTTTCGACCATAATCATTGTTCAGAACATATGTTTGAGGCACATGGAAATCATATAGCTAAATTTGTTGCTACAGCGAGAACTTCCATAGTATTACATTTATGCAGTTATTTCAATAAAAAAGCCACGTGCAAATAATTCAGTTATTTCTTTTTTAAAAAAATATAAAACGATATGTATTACGCTGAAAAAAGTGTTAAATGATAGAAATTATTAATTTATGATTGGAAAGTACAACGCCGTACATGAAAAACTACCAGCAATTATTATGTCATAAGGAAATTATCATAACGAGCTAGGGGATTCCCCTAGATAATTCACGTATAGAGTGAGATTTAGTATACAATTCTGAAATTTTATATTCTATTGGTAACATTGTATGTAGAAATATATTTAGATTTTATATATACAATGCTTAGCTTCTATTTCTATAAGGTTTGAATGTCATATACCACTCTTAACTTCTATTTCAATAGGCTTAGATTTCATATATAACTCTTGAATTATATTTCTGTAGATATAATTGTATTTTTATACAACTATATGTACCGTTATCTAACTGTTAAGATTTTTTTCTTTTTCTAGAAATTTCTAGCTTCTAGAATGAATGCGGTAGAAGAGCGTCCTAATAATATAACGGATAGATGTCAAAAACTTATTATTTTATAAATTAGTTGCTCCGAAACGATAATACTTATCGTTTTGGATAAAACTAAAGTCAAAATTTAAAATATTTGACTATGAAATATTTCTCATACAGATATGGAGACCATATGTATAGATTAATCTTGAAAAGTACTTCAATAAACTTATATATTTGTTCATATTTATACGAATATTACTCCCTTCGTTCTATTTTAAATGTAGTTGTTGATTTCTGTGTCCAACGTTTGCTCGTCCGTCTTATTTGAAAAATTATGAAAAAATTGAAAAAAAATAAGACACGCTTAAAGTACTAGTGATGCTTTATTATCTAATAGCAATAAAAATACTAATCATAAAAAATATCAAATAAGATGGATGGTTAAACATTGGAAAAAAAAAACCACAACTGCACTTAAAAATGGGCGGAGAAAGTATAGTAGAAAAGTGTTATTAAGGTTATTTCTTGAGTGTTGTTTCTTGGAGACTTTGTGTCCTTGTACAAAACTATAAATACTATCAAGTAGTTCTAACAAAAAAGAAATGGTTGTCAGGATATTTAAAGTTTGATCGAGTTTTGTCCCAAATAATAAAAAAAATTTACTGATCGGGATCATTGAATGCGCTAGTTACAGTGGGGAAAGTAACGGTGATGCGGAGGAGTTCGAGAACCAGAATGGAACAAACAACGGTATGGTGCCGGAGATGAAGACGATCACCCACCCCAGCCACCCGGAGCACAAGCTTAGAATGGTGACCACCACCGGCGAAGCGCCGTTCAAGTGCGACGCCTGCAAGGAGCCCGGAGACGGGCCGAGGTACCACTGCCTCACCTGCGAGGACCTCAACATGCACAAGTTCTGTGCCCATGCGCCGAGCACGCTCTACCACCATCTCTTCGGCCGCACGTTCGAGCTTCTCGCCAAGCCACCGCAAGGACGACCGGAGAAACCGCACCCCGCCGCCACCGGTGGTGGCAGAGGCGAAAGCGGCGGCAGGTGGTGCGACACCTGCGGCGACCATGTGTTCGGTCTCGTCTACCACTGCTCAGGCGCCAACCTCGACCTCCACCCATGCTGTGCGAGCCTGCAGGAACTCCCGGTCCAAAACCGGGAGACGTTGGACCAACCGAAAGAAAGTCTTGCTACGCCTCAAAAGCTAGTTAAAGAGGTGAGAGATTCCCTCACTTTTAAGTTGGCTCAACCCCATAAATAAGTAACGTGGGACTATTCTCAACAGGGACTAGCCAAGATCACTATCGACGGGGTCGCCTTCGACATCGCGGCGTTCAGCAAGTGCAGCCTATGCAGCAGACAGGAGGAGGAGGGCCCGGATCACTGCTGCCGCCGCCTCCGCCGCCAGGAGCAATGGTGCTACTACAACTCCGACGTCGTCGACGGCGGCGGCGAGGCCGTGTCCCTGCACGTGTCCTGCATCAAGCAGATCGCACGGAGGAGATGGCAGGCAGCTCGGGACATGAAATGTGGAGGGCAGATCATGCTGGCGATCAGCGAGGAGATGATCGGTGAAGGTGGTCCTCTCCATGGCATTCCGTCGGAGCGAGATCGGAACATCGTCGGCGCGGTGGTGCGCGTCATCATCGCGGTGATATTTGGAGATAGGACAGCCATGGAGGGAGACATCAGCTCTTGGGTAGCTTTAGGTCTCCCATGGCTGACAAATTTATTTACCGTTCAAAGATAAATCGATTGGTGTGTGTTTCTCTCGCTCATCTATTCATAGGATGCTACATAAATAAATAACTGCAGGTAAGTAAATAAACAAACAGATAATTAATCGATCGAGGTGTCTGTTGGCTTGTTTTTTTTCCACCTACTTTTGCTTATATATTTTCTGGGATTTGGAATAAATGGACTTGTATTTCCTTCAGTGTAAAATATTGTGTGTAATATGCATATACTCCCTCCGTCCCATAAAAATTGCATTTCTAGCTCCAAGGCTTTGTTCCACAAAATTATATTTCTAGCCATGTGGGGCCTAACCAATTGATTCATCTATATAAGTTTCATTCCATCTCACATAATTTGAGCTGCTAATGCTTGTAATTTTATTAAGTATGCTAATTATATGGGTTAATTCTCTCAAACTTCCTTTTAATCATTTGTATATATGGAATGTGTGCATACAGTGGGTTCATTAAATAAGGTTATTGTGGTAATTTTCCAATCCTACTATTTTGTCCTAAATTAGCTAGAAATGCAATTTTTATGGGACGGAGGTAGTATTTGCATAATGCTTGTTCGACAATGTTGACGATATATATATATTGCACGCATTAATCCATCTGACAGAAATGGTTGTTTATTAGTTTTCATTTTTTTTCACTAATTATTATTGAATCAACTTTTTTTATGGATTAGTGACTGAAAATTAAGTTTTGAGTTTTCCAAATGACCTTATATAGAGACATGTTCTATGTCAAAAGTGTATAACTCAACGCGATCTACAAGTTTACATCTGATGACATTTCCATTTGAAGTTATTCAACGTGCAAAATGTATATTCCAAGTTTAGAATGGTGAAGTGAGAAACAAATAGCATATCCTTCCAACAATCATGAAAAGCTCATAGGTAAAATCATGTGACTTGTGATTTATGTTTCGCTGCCATGTATAGATGCCTAAAATATGTTTTTGGTACCTTTTGTGCCTACGAAAGTCAAAATCTGGTAATTCATTTTTACCGGCCATTCATGAAAATTGATTTTTACGGGTGGTCATGGAATCTGCTTGAGAAAAATCCTGATTTCTACATGCCCTTACTTTTAGACGACGGTTCAAAAAATACGTGTGAACACGAGTTATTGACCACCCTGAACTAATGTTTTCTTTTATATACCAATGCCTTATAATTGCATTGGTAGTTGTTTCATGTAATATCTGCGGTCCCCAAAGTGTCGCTCTTTTAAAGAAGAGGGTGAATGTTATAACCAAATCCCATGTAAACCCTTTTATCTAATGCAAATCCCGTATAGTAAATATGCACCTCCTCTTCACGATTTGGTGATGATGTTGATATAAAATATGTTGCTACTTATTGCTCTCCCCTACCTATGCTTTGTAGTTGTACATATATCTTTGATCGACTAAAAAATTTATATAACCAAACATATATCTCTTGGACATCATGGAACACTCGGTGTACTTGTCCTTTTTTGTGTTCTCAAAAACAATTTATATTGATATTCATTTGTTATGAATAGGAGGCAGCAGGAAAACTGAGTGTAGATCTGATAGGACTGGACGTCTCATGACGGTGAGAAGTGGAAAGCTACAGTGGGGAGTCAAGCCTCCCAGATCTTCAAAACCTGCAAGCATCGATGGATAACTCAAGAACGAAGAGACTAGTACAACGATCTGAAATTGAAGATTATGCTGAACAAATTGATTTGATACCTTCTTTTCTTGAGCAGCTTCTGTTTTTATGCAAATAATTGCAATACCCAGAATTACATATTACTAGACGTCAACCCGTGCGTTGCACGGGTATAATTATATATTGTTACAATAATATGAACAGTTTTATGCTACAGATGTGTTGTTTATTTTTAAAATATAGTAGATTAGAATTAAAATAACTTGTTAGTTTTGAATTAAATAATTAAATTAATAAGTGCTAAATTGACAGTTGAGCATGGTCATAAATCGATATATAGTTATTAAGTTTGAATTTATTTTCACATTGTAGTGGGATTAGATAAAATCAATCCCTACCTGTTACAATCTGCTATTTTTTATTTTGAATTTCATAAATTATTAATAGCAATGCTAAATAGTACGTAGTCCAAGGTTTAATTGGTACAGCTCCATATTATTAATTTCATTTTTTTTAGAAAATCTATAAATGTAAAGAGCATATGGCCTGTTTTATTTAATATAAAACCAACATAATCAATGGGTACGATTTTATGATGATTAAACTAATAAATGCTACATTGATATTGATAGTCGAAGATGTTTAGAACTCTGTCATAATTAGAATAGGGAGTTATAGTGGATTAGATAAAAAGAGTCCTAGTTAAAGTTTGCTAATCAAAATTATTAAATTTAAAATTGTTCTCGTCTTGGACTGTCAAGCAAAAATATTTTTATGGCTGCTGCTTGTCAAACTTGAAGTTACAATTTTAATTGTCTAATTATTAATATAAAATTGTACTTGTCTTGAACTCTCAAGAAAATATTTGTATCATCCCTGTTTGTGAGAAAGAATATATATTTATATCATGTCGAGAGACAAATAAGTTGTGTTATTTGTCTTTGGAAATTATATATATATATATGGCATCAACTTAAATAACAATGAGCGGATACAACGAAGCAGCACGCATGGATTAATTAGTTTGAATGTGCAGAAAGCTATAGAACAACAAAGTTCGAATATATATACATATAAGAGACCATACAAATCAACCATGCATGAATTATCTTCATGCATGGTTTACAGATGCAACGCCTACGATGGATGTTTCCTAGGTGCAAGCAAAACTTGGCATAGAATATCCAAATTGACAAATTACGTACCTTCATAAAGAGCAGATGAGACGACCACGGATCGATCTCTTTGGGTGCAATCGAACTTGTTTGTTTGGGTGAATTATAACATCTCAATGCACCTGAAATTTATTAGGTCATATGTTGGCATAGCCAGATGAAGAGCATGCAGATGAACAGCTAGAATTGGAGAAAGTTCGAACAAAATCTTACTTGTGTACGTAAATCAGCAATCGTAGCTGTAGGATCAGTTTAGATCAATTCTTAATAGATGAGCTGAGACCCCGCAAGGACAAATGCATTCGGTCGACATCGATATGGAGCTTTGCCTGCATGCAATTGCGGCCAAACCTCGGGTGCACGATGAAGGAGGTCGAAGTTGCCGCCGTCTTGTCGGGAGCGATGTCCGCCAATACCGTGGCAGCCATCGATGTAGGTGAATACCCTAATGTGGTGGCTGAGATTAATACGTGCACATATATGGGTTTTGGGCCTTTAAAGCAGTTAAAGAGATTGGATGGTGGACCAATTTCTAACGCTAGATTGCTTGGACTTTAAAAGTCCATGTTTACAGTTTAAATCTACGGTCCTGATATTACCGTCAATCTAATCTAATGGTTAGATCTTTATAGTTAACGTGAGAGTTCGTAGAAAGTGCCCAATTAGTATAGGGATAGATTTATGTTGCTTCCTTGCTAGTTTTTTGAGTTGGGAACTTGGGATGGCAACACAAAGTTCTAGCAATAATTTGTTACCTCACCTACCTCTCAACTTCAGGGAAGATTAATCCACAACTTATTACACGACGTCACCACCCGTCTCTCACTTACTTCAGATTGTCTGGCTTTTCACTCGCTGAATCGCTGTTTGCATCGGATAGTTGTTTTCTTCAGTCCAAAGTATACCCATAAGGATGAAGTAGCCTTTAACTTCTCTCTATGCTGTTTGTTGGCGATAACCTCTGATCGAACACATTGCGTGCAAACTGCAGATGTCCGGCACGGCAACAGACTAAAACAGTAACGAAGAACAAAGGAAATTCAGAGCAGAGGAAAAAACTGAGAAATTTCAGAATTCTCCGCGAGAACGATCAAATGTGGGGCAATTTTCTGGTGGTTTTTCATTCAACTAAATAAAGAACTTACAAATGAAAAAACTGAGCTAAGACTCCTACTTATACTCGATACAAATAAACGAATCCGAGGCAAAATCGTGCCATCCCACGATCCGCAAATCTCTGAATTCAGCTACACACACCTGCGCTAAACTCACGCACACGGACGCTACTGATGCGGTCATTCAGATCCTGATCGCCGCATCTCCCGCATCTGCTAACAAACTCCAGCAGACTTATTCTCCAAGCCATTGCAATCGCTACACACATAAACTTCTAACTTTTCCGTCACATCGTTCCAATTTTAACTAAACTTTCAATTTTAGTGTGAACTAAACACAACCATTACTAGTTGAGAATTTAGATTTTCCTTGACGACAAAGTCCACTACAATTCTCCAAAAAAATTATTAAAAACAAGTCAGTCTCCACCAGAACCATCTACCACCACATGTCCATTTGTGTCAAGAACAGAGTTATTCAGAAAATTGATCAGTACTCTACCACTGAACCCCCGCAGCACATGACCTACTTAGAGTTTCTCTAGAAAAGTCAATGGGGGCAGGAGGCCAGCGTGGGGGCAGACAGCGTGCAGGTGGGTGACGTGTGTGCGGGCAGCCTTGGAGGGCACGCGACGGCCGGCGTGTGGCCAGGCAGATGGCGGGAGATCGGCGGCCGGGCATGCGCATGGACCGCCGCCGAAGGCCTTGAGATCGACGGGCAAGAAAGGTATGGAAAAGTCTTACCTTTCGGGGGCAGTCTTGACGGAGGTGCTGGGAATTCGTCGGTGCTCGCCGGAGAAGATCCGTCGTCGCAGCCGTGCAGGAATAACAAGAAAATGCGCGAAGCAAAATTATTATCCGCGCCAAAAAAAATGACGATGGGGGCGTGCTCCGGAGCCCCCAGGACTGGGGCCTTGGGGGAGGATTCGAGGGCCTCCTCACTTTTGGGGCTCTAGTAGGGTCCCTGCTGGATCTAGTTTTTTGATCTTAACTCTCAAAAATTGAATAGGGGCTGAATTTGAGGTCCCTGCTGGAGATGCTCTAACAATTGAAACACTTTGGGGGGCCACAGCTGAAATTACACATTCAACACTGCTTAATGTGTATTGGTACGAATATACAAACTAGAGAGAGCAAACAATTCTCGATCTGTTGGGTTCATATATACTCCCTCCGTTTTCAAAATGTTTGACACTTGACTTTTTAGTACATGTTTGATCATTCGTCTTATTCAAAAAATTTAAGTAATTATTTATT